TTAATGGATAAAGTTACCAATAACAAAGACTATTAAAAAAAACATCTGTTCAGCAAAGGTAATTAAAAAGAGTTAAATAAATACTTTAATAAATATAACTGGAAAAAAGAATTTGAAACCTTAAGTGTTGATGAAAGCTATTTAAGATGGTTAACAATTCATGAAAAAGGATGCAAAATGTTCATTCCTTAAATCAAAGCTGCAGGTTTAAAAAATACAGATGATGTTATAATTTACAACAATTTTAATAAGATATTAAAAAAAGATATTAAAAAAGCATTTATGAAAAAAAACAATCAAAATCAAACGCTAAATGTATATACACATATATAAACCGTATAATTATATAACATATAAAAACAGTATAAATATATAACATATAAAAATGTATATACACATATATAAACCCAAATTAAAAACACTATTTGAGCCATAAGAGATAAAAATGGTGATGTTACAACAAATGATAAAACAATATGCAATACCTTAAAATCTTATTTTAGTTCAGTAATCATAAATAAAAATAACAACAATATTCCATTATTTGAAAAAAAAACCTTTCTAAGATGCCCATTTCCAAAGTTAGAGAAATAAATAATTAAAACAAAATTAAAAAAATTAAAAGCAAATAAATCAAGAGGTGTTGATAAAGTACATGCAGGAGTGTTGAAGGAATGCTCACAAAATTTATTTAAACCATTAGAGTTAATGTTTAATTAATCGATATTGCAATAAAATTCGATAGTGCAAATCTACCAAACTTATGGTTACATGCAAATATAACACTATTTGCATTGCATCAGAAAGGTGTCAGACTTGAATCAGCTAACTACAGACTAATTTCATTAACATTGATTGTATACAAAATCATGGAAAGTATTGTCAGAGATAAAATAATATCTTAACAATAGTAATTTAATCTCAGTGTACCAACATGGTTTTGTGAATGAAAAAAGTTGTTGTACAAAATCACTAGAAAAATTAGATATTGTCAGTAAAGCATTTAAATTATATTTCTAGATTTTTCTAAAGTTTTCAATACTGTGCCACATGAAAGATTGTGTATAAAATTAGCTGGATATAGTATTATTGGTGATCTGTTGAACTGGTGCAGAGCTTTTCCAAAAAATTGGTTACAACGAGTTGTACTTGGATAAAATATTTCTGAATGGACAAATGTTATAAGTGGTGTTCCTCAGAAATCAGTACTTGAACCATTATTATTTATTTACAGAAAATTTACAACAAGATCTAAATAAAATGGTACAATGGACAAAAAATTGGTTGACAGAATGTAATAACGACAAGTGCAAGGTTATGCATATTGAAAAAATAATCCTAAAAACGAATACCTTATGCTTAACAATTCAAAAAATAAAACGTATGCCACTAAACAACAAAAACAACTTTAGAAAAAGATCTGTATGTATCTTAATTATTAATCTTAGGTATTTAATGTCTTATAAATTGACTCAACATCACAATTATATTGCATGGTACTTAGACCATGTATGATATTATTTTATTTTACAATAATAACGTAATTTGTAAATGCAATATTTATTATATCTTTTTTATATCGCAATTTGTAGATGGAATGTAATACAGATTTATTTGATTTGTATGTATATATGAACGGACATATATTTGTGTGTACGTGTGCGTATGCGTGCGTGTATAATAAATATAAAAGTAGAATAAAATAGAGAATTAAAAAAAATAATAATAATGAGAAGAAATAATTAATTTTTTTTTTTTTTTTTTTTTTTTTCTTTTTGTAAATAATAATTTGATTTTTAAGTTCTTTTCTTCTTAAAATCAGTTCTTGCTTTAGTTTCTTTTTTCCTTTTTTATTTTTATCGGCTGAATTTTTTAGTTATATTAACGGGGCTGGATGATAAGATCATGTCTTCTGCCAGCTCCGGTCGAAACTTTAATGTTATAGTTTTTATGTTGTAAAAAAAACATTGTAAAAGATTATTCATTTAATGACGAAATAAATAAATAAATAAAATAAATAAAAAATATCTGAATATGCATCAAATGAGCTTAAATGGAATTAATACATTAACTATACAGTCAATAAGGCTTACCAAATATTAGGCCTAATAAAACACTCTTTTAAAAATTTAGATAAAAGAAATATAAGATTACTATTTTCTTCATTAGTCAGACCTCGTCTTGAATATGGATCACCATTATGGAACCCGCATTTACAAAAACATATCAATATGATCAAACAATTCCAACAAAGAGCAACTCATATCTATTTAAATTTTAAAAGGTTTACTATACGAAAATAGATTAAATAATATTAAATCTTCGTACATTAAAAAATAGAAGGTCGAGAGCCAATATAGTGCAACTATACAAGTTTATGAATAACTTAGATGTAATTAATTGGTACAATCCTCCTATATTTATAAAAAATTCAATAACAAGAGGATACAATAAAAGAACATGTAGACAACAAAGCAAAAAAAAAAAAATCGGTCAATATAATTTTTTATAAAAAAAAATAGTGGACAAAACGAATCGTTTATTCCAAGAAGATGTGGATGCAATAAAACTTAAATACATTCAAAACCTTTATAAATTTTTATAACTATTCAAATAACATTCAAATAACTATTTATAAATAAAAAATTAAGTTATTATTTATAAATAACAATTAATATCATTAAATAATGTTAATTTAACAAGTAAATGAATTAACTTTCCTATGCATTAAAAAGTTTTGATAATTCAGAATTAGTATTTTGCCTTTCAGTTAATTTTTATTATAACGCATCATAAAAATAAAAAACAGAACCAAGTTGGCTGAACGTCGGCTGTACATCGGCTGAACGTCGGCTAAATGTCTGTTTGTCTATTCATCGGCCAACAGACAAAAAGCCGACGTTCAAACGATATTGTTTTGCTAATAACAGAGTAGCCGATATTCAACCGATATAACAAGCTCGGCCCGAACTCGGCCCATTGTCGGACTTAACACAGAGATATATATATACAGACCGGGTCCATAGGCGGTGCAAAGGTTGTCACGCACCGGGGCCCCACATTTTCCTAATTTTCAGGGGCTTCATCATTTTTGTAAGATTATAGATAATAAAACTATTCTTTATTTAATAGTTTGAGTACCAAATTTTAAATTTACGATATTAAATATTATTTTACAATACTAACTTTTTTTTATCACAATTACAAACCGATTTTATGGTTTCCGACGTTTCCGAAGTTTAGTACAAACTGTGCGGCCACAAAGCGTGGTCACACTTATTTCAAAGTTTTAAACCTACGCTGAATTTCCAATAATGGCGGTCTGTTGACGTTTTATTGGAGTTTTGCAGAATAAGTGAATATTTAAAGTTAACTTGTAAATAAACTCGGTAGAGAAAGTTTAAATCGTGGGTGGAATGGCTAGTCACGGGATTCGAACGTATGAATCTGGTGCTTTGAAAAGAAAAAAAAAATAAAACAAACAGTATTCCCTATTAAACAAACAGGTGCTTTAAAAGGGTATTTTAAAATCTCCTGTGATACTACCCAGCTAAGACACCATTGTTGGCCCAATGTTTGGCTGGCCAATGCTTCTCGTAACGTTCGTCCACCTTTGGCAACTAACGTTGAACCGATTCCGTGATGACCTCCGGGCATGCATTAGCCCACTGACATTGGGTCGATGCTGTTTAGCCAGCATATATCCGAATATATATTTTATTAGGACCAATGAATTACAAACGCCATTCGTACATAGTATATAGTTAGTTCTGACAGTGTTAAAATAAAATTACTTTTATTTGTTATTCTTTAATGTATTAAAAAACTTATTTCAGTTTCAACCAACATTTGATTCGAGCAATTTAAATTGCTTTAATCAAATGCAAACAGACTTAATAGAAATACATTTGGTTTTACGATCAAGCGTGTGTGAATTCATTTAAGGTAAATTTCTTTTAAGGTATCTTTTTAAATGCTTTTTAAAGGTAGAGAATAAAAAACATATAATAAAATGATATGTATATTAGACAATTTAAAAACTGTTGTACATTAATTATCGTTGTCATTTGCATCACATTTTTTATCCTGAAGTTGTGAATGGCATGATGAAACAACCCTCAAACGTTTGTTTATTTAACTGTCAAGACTGCGACGTTTGCACCATCCTGACCCATCTAATATTTTGCAATCGCACGAATTATGAAGCCACGACTATACATTTTCGTTTACTTCCATTTTTGTAGCATTTTTTGTATATGGACTATCCTGTACTGCACCATAAAAAATTCAAACATTTAATATAATGTACACAGCAACCCTATTAAAAATAGATAAAAAAATTTTGTTTGAAAGTAATTAAAAAGTCATTGGTTGTGCGATCATTTTCAACAACAAAAAAAAGAAAAAAAGGAATGAATTTTTTTCATGGTAAACTTCATGGTATTCTATTTTCTATTATCTATTATTCATAGAGCATACTCGTGTTACCTAAAAGTTAAAACCTTATGTAAGGTTCATTACGTTATGGTTTAAATCTTCGTAACCTAACAAAATTTACTTGTTTCATTTCATGTACGGTAAATATAATGAAACATGCATAAGTAAATTTTGCTAGTTATAACTAAATGGTCATACACAACATAATTAACAAGATTTATTGATCAGCAACCATAAATTGCAGATAATTGCAATTTATGGTTGAAATCAAAATTTAGAAAATAAAGAAATTTAGAAAATAAAGAAATCAAAACCATAAATTGTAATTTTATGGTTTTGATTTCTTTCTTCTGCCCACTTCGACCTTCAAAGTTTTTTTGTTGAGCCACTTCTGTAGCCATCAATTCAAAGAGCACGTTTTTCACTGTTTCTGCAGCAGTTCTCACTGTTTCTGCAGCAAACTTTTCAAATTATGCACCAAAATGCATAATTTGAAAAGTTTCATGTGGTTTACAATAGACCCATAAAATATTTACTCATAGAAAACAGATAAAATTCTGCAATAAAAATATTATCTAAATTAAATATACAAATGCATCCAATCAAGATTTTTCTAGTAGAACATGCTCAAGATGTTCTAAATGCACAATGGAATGCAATGGCAATGATATATTGTCAGGTAATGCAACAGCAACCTCTGATGAGCCAACAACCTTCAATATCATTTTCTGCTGCGTAAGACATGTATCTAATTTTTGTTCAATCTTTGTGAGACGAGCAAACATTGAATGAAGTAAGGTTGGAAGATTACCTGAAAAAAATTACATTTAAAATGAAGAAAATCGTTTAAGTTGTTAAATATCTTTACTAAATCTTATCCTACGCAGTAAGCACTGAATTCAGTAAGACACTAAGTGACAACAAAATATTATTACCAATGTTTTTAAATGCTGAAAAAATGTTCACTGCTGTTATAAATTAAATGCCTTGGTTGTTGCTAGTTTCCGATTGCAATGATGTGTTCACTTTGATGAACGGCGCATAATCAGTTTCCTCTTCTTGAAAGCACATAGTGAATACACAAAAAGCATTACACAACAGGTAAAACACTTTGCATACATAATATTTACAACTTAAAATAGATTTAATTTACTTTGTAACATTAATAAACCAGGTGTCATTCTCGGCATAAGCAAACTTTTATGACGTTGTTCACTCACAGTACTAACTAAAAGTACATTAAGCATTAAAAAATTCTAAAAAAAGTAAAAAAAAATAGTATTTTTATCTTTAATATCTTGCAAAGACATTTTCTGTCATAATAAAGCAGCTGTTTGTTACAGTCCTATGTTGAGGCGGATAAATAGATTATGTAAAAATATATTTTTAAGCTATTTTATGACTTATACAGCTTATACAGTACTTTTATTTATTATTAGTAATTTTATTTATATATATAAAACTTTATATATTTGGCTATTTAGAGCCATTAGAATTACATTAAGGTTAACTAGGCATTGAGAACTGTAAACAAAAAAAAACAGGAATATTATTAAATATATATACCTGAATCCAATGTTCCTAGCTTTTCATTTTTATCGCGGTAGTGGTGTAGTGGCAGTGGCGGAACTTCAAAATTTGCCCCCCCCCCCCCCCCCCCGCAAAAGAATGTTTTTTTTTCGGAAAAGAGTTTTATAGTATAAGTATTATTGAGAGTATAACTTTTTTTATATGAGGGCCCCCTATAGCTGGTAGTCCCCCCCGCAACGCAGGGTCCTGCGTCCAGTATTTCCGCCACTGTGTAGTGGTAGAGCGTTCGCTTCATAAACGAGTGGTTCGGAGTTCGATCCCCACCACGTCCTTGGTAGTACCGCACTCAACTCGTTTCTTTATATATATATATATATATATATATATATATATATATGTATATATATATATATATATATATATATATATATATATATATATATATATATATATATATATATATGATATATTACATTTACGTATTAATTGATCTATTTATTAAATTTATTTATTACATTAGTTATATATTACATATATATATATATATATATATATATATATATATATATATATATATATATATATATATATATATATATATATATATATATATATATGTATATATATATATATATATATATATATATATATATATATATGAATATGTATATATATGAATATATATATATATATGTATATATATATATAAATATATATACATATATTTATATATATATATATATATATATATATATATATATATATATATATATATATATATATATATATATATGTATATATATATATATATATATATATATATATGTATATATATGATATATATATATGATATATTATATATATATATATATATATATATATATATATATATATATATATATATATATATATATATATATATATATATACATATGATATATTACATTTACATATTAATTGATCTATTTATTAAATTTATTTATTACATTAGTTATATATTACATATATATATATATATATATATATGAATATGTATATATATGAATATATATATATATGTATATATATATATAAATATATATACATATATTTATATATATATATATATATATATATATATATATATATATATATATATATATATATATATATATATATATATATATATATATATATATATATATATATGTATATGTATATATATATGTATATATATATATATATATATATATATATATATGTATATATATATATATATATATATATATATATATATATATATATATATATATATATATATATATAATTTAATATATAACTAATGTAATAAATAGATCAACTATTATGTAAATGTAATATATAAATAAAGTAATATGCAAATGTATATATTAATATATATTTTTTATTAAATATATTATTAATAAAATATATATTATATATGTATATATATATATATACATATATATATATGTATATATATATATATATATATATATATATATATATATATATATATATATATATTTATATATATATATATATATATATATATATATATATATATATATATATATATATATATATATTACTTTAATTCAGATTACTTTAAAAACCTTGGAGTCTTTATTCCTAATAACACTGTAGTATTCAGGTTAAATATTGAAATGTTCCTGTTAATCTCCTGTTTAGGTTCTTTAATATAGTTCAAATGTCCCTTATGAAATCTTAAACTAAGTGTTTTTAAGCCTAAAAGGTTACCGAATCCCTTCCCTTCCTTTTTTTCTTTTAAAGAAAAAGGGAAATTATGTGAATTTTAAACTTCTTTCTTTTACTATATATACTAATATTAAAACAACTATTATCATCTTAATAATACTTTTATTTGCACAAAAACTCTTAATTCGATAAAGAGAGATACAAATTGTTTGTAGTACTTACATACTTGCTTGCCATTTTTTAAGATTAATTTAATATATTTTTATGCTAAAACAAGATGTAATGCAAGATTATGCTAAAACAAGATTTCGCTTTACAGCGAAAGTAATGTAATGTTGTTTTATTTTTTTAAGATCATTTCATATTCCAGCCTTTAAATAAAATCCCACAAGAAACCCACGTAGGATTTCCCATGTGGGTAATACCATATGGTTCCCACATGTAAACCATGTGGGATTACCCATATGAGTTTTGAAGTGGCAAAATTCCATACGGATACCACATGTGAAAATCCCATGTGGGTAAATACCACATGTAACCCATGTGAGATTTACCCATATGGGTTTTAAGTGGCAAATTTTCATAGGGATACCACATGGGAAAATCCGTACCATACAAATCCCATGACACCCACACGAAACCCACATGGAACCCATGTGGGACGCGGTTTTATTTTTCACTGGGTAAGACCCAAAAAGACTTGCAATGGTATATGAAATGAAAATAATACGCAATTAAAGTATATATAAACTACAGCTATAAAACAAATTTGTAAATATTTCAAAACCTTTTTATCCAAATTTGTATCATCATAGATCAATCGTTGATCAATGATGTCGGTTGTGCAATATCTAAAAAATAAATTTCCAAGTATCATAAGTTGCGATACAATATCAATCAGAGCGTAGTTAATAAAAACTAATTATAAATTAAATGTCCTAAATAAGCTAAAAAAAAATTTGTTACAATTAAAATTTAAAAGTAACTCAAAAGAGATTCATAATTGGTTGATTCATGATTCTTTTTCATGATAGGTTGCTTTTTCTAAGCGATCACAGAGAGAAACTTTTTGTTCATACTAAAGTACAAAGTTAAGTCATCAGCAAACGGAGGAACTTTAGATACTTGATTGATAGGAAGATTATTAATGTAGATAAACTAAACAGGACCAAGGATAGAACTTTGAGTTACCCAAGTAGTACTGAAAATAAAGAAGAAAACCAAAAAAAATTCGTATTTAAGAATGATTTTAGTATTGCGGTTAGAAATAAATGAATAATATCCTCAAAAGTTTCCCAGACACACCATATGAAGCAAGTTTATGCAGATGACCCTATGCCAAACTTTATTGAAAAGTTTGATATGCCAAGATCAATAGTCCTTGCCAAAAGTTTGATGTTCTCCATGTTTTGCAGTTAGTCGGGAATTGTGTCGGGGATTGTGTAGGGGATTGTGTCGATTCATAAATATTTCCCCAAGATCTTAACAATCTTTCGTTGAACACAGAAAAAGGCGGAGCTCTTAAATATTTTTTGGCAACGTATGAGAGAACTAAAATTTTATTGCTGAGTGTTTCTTTAAACATGTATTTTTGTAATTTCCCTTCTATTTATATAGACATTCTTTTTGAAGCAGATTAGGCAGTGATAAGTAAAAGTTTATTTCATTAGCTCTAAATAAAAAGTCATGTTTTAGGTCCTTTTTGATCTTTTTTAAAATGTAAATAAAAAATATATAAACTATAATATATATATTTAATATATATATAATATACTATAATATATATATAATATATATATAATATATATATAATATACTATAATATATATAATATACTATAATATACTATAATATACTATAATATACTATAATATATATAATATACTATAATATATATATAATATATATATAATATACTATAATATATATATAAACTATAATATATATATTTACTCAAAAAATTAAATTTCACCTCGTATGTGCAGTTTTTTTTTAAATCTAATTAAAATTTTATAATCTCAATATCAGGGTTCATGTATTATTTTAGAAATTAAAGTAATGGACTTATGATGCTTTTCACTATTTGATTGTGTTTTAGCAAATATTTATACTAAACACAATCATCTGATATTTTAATTTAAATTAGTTATTTACGGAAGACTCACTTATTTTGAAACTAAAAGAGAAAATAGGTTTAGCGATGCTAAGGTACATTAACCTCAATACTATTGTCATTTTTAATTTATCTTATTAAAAAAAGTCTCCAAAATACTAAGAGTGTTTCAGTGGATTGTATTTATCTCACTATTCGAACATACATTTTTACACTTAAGGTTGTGAAGCAAATATTACAGAGCTTTATTAACCATACTACATACAGGTTATTAAAAATATTAATAAATAAATGTTTCTTTGTTTATAAAAAAGGATCTAACACGTAACAAGCGTTTTTTAATAATTAATGATTCAAATCTGATTCTAAAAACAACTGAAAGTTGTTTTTAGAAACAGCTTTTGTCTAAAATGCCTAACGCCCTATGCACCCTTTTCTATTAGGGTTTTTATGGTACCTGCATCTGCGATAAAATAAATGTTTTTTCTTAAACTAACTTTTATGATGACTTGAGTCACGGTTGAAAATTTCAATTTGACAGCTTTCAAAAAAAAGGAGTTATGATTTTTTGTCCTTTTTTATGTCGATCTTAGCCCACTGTGCTTTGTTGAATGTATTTTTACAGTTCTTTACTTTCGTTAATTTTTTTAATTCAGTGTCAGGAGGTTCATTTTAATTTTTTGAGTGAAGAGCTAGATTCTTGTGTTGATTCAGATGAATTGTTTGTTTCATTATCTGACTGATTTAAATTGTCGGTTAAAAGGCAATTGGGCCTTTTGTTTAAAACTAAATTTTGATGAAACTAAATAAGTTACCAAGGAACTTAATTTATTGTACATGTGGCCATTTGTTTGTTGGTGAAACTAAATGAAGATAAAATAGAAGCCTGACCATCAAAAAAATGTGACCAAAGCTGACTGGCGAAGCATCAAGAGTTATAAAACAAGCA